CACCAGGCGTGTGTGCGTGCGTGCCCAAGATCCTGAGAAGAGAATGGAGGAAAAGGGATTGTGGCGTGGCCATCCCCCCTGGGGGGTGATTTCTCGCTTTCTGTCTCTTTCTGTCTGTCTGGCGAGCACACGTGCCCTATAGCAAAAACCTCTCTTAAAAAAAAAATCTACGAATCATCCCTGTGCGCTTCCCTCAGGCCCCAAGGAAGGAAGATGGCAAATTGCCTCGCCCTCCTGGCGCCCGGAGCTAGATGAGCCTTTCACTTTTCTCTTAGGGCTGCCCGCTCATGACCGACTGTCTAGCACACTTCCTGCCAGCCCTGCCAGCCAGCTGAGGTCCCCCACCCTGAATGCCTGTCCTGACCTCCAGCAGCCCTCTCCCTTCACTCGAAGTGGCCTTGACTTGAAGCTCTGCCCACGGGCACCATGCTCTGGGCTGGAACCGGGCAGAGTCCACTTCTGGCTCGTACCCGCAGATGCCAGGTGCACCCACTCTTGAGCCGAGATGGCCTATGTGGAGAGCTGGGCGACAGTAGTGGTGCCCTCTGGTGGGCGCCAGGCGCTATCGATTTCATGACCCCACATCACTGACAGGTAAGCTCTCCCGGAAAGCAGGGGTGAGGGTGCGACAGCCTCACCAGTATGTCACCACCCCCAGGGCGCGTGCTCTCCAGGGAGGAGGGAAAGTGAGAAGGCACGCCCCGATGGGGCATGGCCATACAATCCCTTCTCCTCCGTTTTTTTCTTTCAGGATTTTGGGCATGTGCCTGGCATATTTTTTGTTTCTTTTCTTTTTAATTATTATTTTTAAGAGAATAATTTTATTTAACTTTATTTATTTGTTTTAATTTGACCAGAGGGATAGTGAGAGAGAGAGAAAGTGAGAAAGCAAGCCGCCGGGTCCAGGACTTGAACTGCAGTCAGTCACGTGATAGTTCAGCATCTCTAATCACCACGTCACCTGCCCCATTTTTTAAAAATTTTATTTTAGGGACCAGTAGGTGGCATAATGGTTATCTCTGGACTCCCACATAGTCGACCGCAGTTCGAGTCCTGGACCCAGTGGCTTAAAAAGCCCATGCTGGGTGTGTGTGCGTACCAGAAGTCCTGAGAGGAGAATGGAGGGGAAGGGGTGACGGCGTGGCCATCGCCCTTGGGGGGTCTCTGCCTCCCTCTGTCTTTCTGGCCAGCACACGTGCCCTATAGCAAAAATCTCTCTTAAAAAATTATTATTTAGCGTTATTCATTATTATTATTTTTAAAAACTTGACGAGAGAGAGAGAGAGAAAGTCCTGGTCCA